ACCTGACCTCACAAATGGTCCAACATTCCCATAGACACACCCCTAAACCTTGTGGACGCCTTCCCAGAAGAGTTGAAGCTGTTATAGCTGCAAAGGGGGCGGAGCCAACCCAATACTGAACAATACGGACTAAGACTGGGATGCCATTAAAGTTCATGTGCGTGTAAATTTTTTTTTTTCTCCTGTCTAAACTGACAAACTGTCATGTTGATCAGTATTGCTTCCGACCTGAAGAAGAGAGGTTAACTCTCGAAAGCTTGTCTTTTATATATTTTGTTAGTCCAATAAGAAAGGTATCATCACATACTACAATACTGCATTTTGTTTTTGTTTTTTTATACATCTTCTCTACTGGACTAACACGGCTTACCCATTTACATTACACTATATATATATATTAAAATTTGTCTTGGTATCGGTCTATTTCAGTCCTCGTACTGCAGAGCTCAAAATTCTTCGTTCACACTGCTCGATTCTCGTACGATCGCGGGATTTCGCCCGATTCTCGTACGAGAATAGAGCAGTGTATGGGCACCTTAAGACTGGGATGTCATTAGAGTTCATGTGCGTGTAAAGGCGTCCCAATACTTTTGGCAATATAGTGTATATAGTGTATACGTATACACACACACACATTTTAGGTGCAATCTCTTGACATGAAATAGATTTTAGCACATTGAGTGAGATGAATGGGCTGGAAGGTGTGACATTGGAGGTGTTTCAATAATAGGAAATGACTTGGTGGATAGAATGACGCCGGGGCGGATGTCACTTAGACGGAGATCATAATCATTTCTTACTTCGCTGCATTCACAATGGCTCTTTGGCACATAGGAAAGGCTGAAAGGTTAAAGGTTCCATAAAGCCCGGTAAATAACGAGTGATGGGGATCAAATATTGAGCTTCGGCGCTGTTCATTGACAGCCCAGCTGCAAAAGGCAAATACAGAATCTCTGTACAGAAGTGTCGCTGAGGATCTCGCGGCGCCTTGGCCAAACACAGATTAATGCTGACCTTTGTCTTTTATCCTCCTCCCCGTCTGAGATCAGAGTCCTCTGTATCATCTGTTGTCAGGCATTAAAGCTGAACTCCGGGCAAACAGCTAAGCGCATGATGAAATACATATATGGGAGCAGTTTTACCCGCCGAAGGATTTCTGTCCATCCAGTCCTGAGATTTACACATCTCTGTCACACAGCACAGCCCTGTCTGGCAGGGTAGTATACATCATTTTTTTTTGCTGGTGCAGGTTGGCTTTTACAGCCCATGTGACTGGACAGTGAAAGAAGAAGCAGCACACCGATGAGCTCATCTCTCTGTTCATCTCTGTGTGCAGTGGAATCAGAGGAAGCCATTTCAGTCCAGGAGGGGAGCCGGTACAACTGTGCAAGACTGAAGGGAAGGACGGAGGTCAGATAGAAGACTGAAGGGAAGGATGGAGGTCAGATAGAAGACTGAAGGGGAGGACGGAGGTCAGATAGAAGGCTGGAGAGAAGGATGGAGGTCAGATAGAAGGCTGGAGGGAAGGATGGAGGTCAGATAGAAGACTGAAGGGGAGGTCGGATAGAAGGCTGGAGAGAAGGATGGAGGTCAGATAGAAAGCTGGAGGGAAGGATGGGGGTTAGATATAACAATGACGGGAAGGACGGAGGTCAGATAGAAGACTGAAGGGGAGGACGGAGGTCAGATAGAAGGCTGGAGAGAAGGATGGAGGTCAGATAGAAAGCTGGAGGGAAGGATGGGGGTTAGATATAACAATGACGGGAAGGACGGAGGTCAGATATAAGACTGAAGGGAAGGCCGGAGGTCAGATAGAAGACTGAAGGGAAGGATGGAGGTGAGATAGAAGACTGAAGGGAAGGATGGAGGTGAGATAGAAGACTGAAGGGAAGGACGGAGGTCAGATAGAAGACTGAAGGGAAGGCCGGAGATCAGCTTTGACTTTTCAGTTTTGTTACAATTCCGATACAAAGTCCCTGAACTATGAACAACAATGTATCTTATTTGTGTATCACTCAGCTGTAGATCCTCCAATCATTACTGAATTGGTGCTGACACTGTCCTTCCTTCTGGAGGGGGGCTACTTGTGTTCCCCATGGTCCCTGTGTGTGTTGTGGAGTAGTCACTGCTCCAAGCTCACTCTCGGGACGGATTACAATCTCATGTTTAGTTTACTCATTTGTATGGAGATTGTAGTCCTTCCCAGGAGCGAGCTTGGAGCGGTGACTACTGTACAACACACACAGGGACCCAGGGGCGTAACTAGAAATCACAGGGCCCCATAGCAAAATTTTGTATGGGGCCCCTTTGACCTCTAGTTACGCCCCTTGCAGAGCCCACTTGAGATCCAAAAAACAGCTCACCTATACTCTCTATGGTGGGCTCTGCAGGGTCACCCTCAGGTGGGCTGGTCACACTCCTTATGTGTCCGCTTCCTCTTCCTGCACGATCGCTGATGGGCCACGCCTCCTCCTCCGTCGCCGGGCCCACCTCCTCTGTCACCAGGCCCCACCTCCTCCTCCGCTGCCGACCATGGGCCCCCCGTCCTCCTCCACTGCCGGGTCCAGCCTACTCTACCGCCACTGCTGGCTCTCATTAACTCCGCAGCGGCTGTGAGAAGAACGCGCTGCTGCACAGATCACTGTCAGTGATCTGAACAGCAGCGCATTGTTCTCACAGCCGCCAGTGAAAGCCACCAGCATAAGATGCCATTGCGACCCAGGCAGCCGCACAGCATCTGACCGGGCCCCCCTGTGCCCCGGGCCCCATAGCGGCCGCCTGGGTCGCTATGGCGATTGTTACGCCACTGCAGGGACCATGGGGAACAAAAGTAGCCCCCCTCCAGAAGGAAGGACAGTGTCAGCACCAATTCAAAGATAATTGGAGGATCTGCAGCCGAGTGATACACAAATAAGATACATTCTTGCTAATAGTTCAGGGACTTGAATCCATTTTTAAGATTTCACTCCGGAGTTTAGTGTCACTTTATTGTTTCAAGCAAAATTCCATTTTCTAAAGCTAAATTTCAGATATAAAATGCACAATTGAATGCAGCTCTGTATTCATCAATTCATTGGTAAATGTATCTTTCAAACACACGCAGTGCTAGGACCTGAGTCTGACCTTGTATCTGCCTCTTGCAGTCCCTGTAAAGGTGGCCATACACTTTACAACCATCACAAGACCTTAGTCTTGCGATGGTTGTAAAGTAATTAAAAAAACGTACGATCTGCCCATCTTGGACAGGCAGATCGCGCTCTCGATCATCGCAAGCCCGCCCCCCTGAGGGGCGGGCTTCCAATGACCGCAATGCTGAACGGGCAGTGTGCGCGTGCGCACACCGGCCCGTTCGGCATTTGTCTCCCGAGCACCGTTGAAACCAGCCGAAAATCGTACGATTTCCGGCTGGTTTTCTAGCGTGCTCCTTAGACAAAAGACGTGCGACCGTACAGTAGAAACGGTCGCACGTCTTCGTTCACACTGCTCGATTCTCGTACGATCGCGGGATTTCCCGCGATTCTCGTACGAGAATCGAGCAGTGTATGGGCACCTTAAAGCAGAGCCCAGGCTGTGAGAAGAGGAAACAGCACAAGGAGCTAATCAATTTATATGTTAACAAGGTTCATGCTGATAAGAGTGAGGAAGAGATGGGCGGCTTTAACTTTTCTGTCCAGTAACAGACTGGGGGTGGGTCCATGATCACCTGGGCTCAGGGGAAGCGGGTAGAAAAATGCCAGCAGTCATTTGATGTTCAACTTGTGAGCAAGGAAAGAAGGTCATAAATACTCAGTACTGGGTCTATATGAAGCCTCCATCAGATTCCAGCAAGGGTAAGAATCAGTCGGTGCGATGTGAACCAAAAAGAGAACCATGTAGGGTTTGGTTGGGAGTGACTCTGGACCTGAGGGACATGTTAGATCTTGATGATGAATATAAGTTAAGTAGTATAGCAGTTAGGCTTCTCCTAAACCAGGGTTATCCTCTACCATTTGAGGAACCTTGGGTGAAGACTTGAAATGCAGAAGAAAAAGAACACCTCCCAAAAAAAGGATAAATCAATGAGAGTGTTAGGCGCATATGTCGCCCTTTATTATAAGCTGATAGCCGATGTATTTCTGTTACCCCCGAATTGAAATGTGTTGGATTTCAGCATATAATAAAAGACAATCAATAGCCTAACCAACTCCTTGATTGGACCTTTTCTTCTATCAAGAGAACTGTGAATGGTGCACACTGGAGGTGATAGGTCTATAGGAACTAAGATGTAGATCCTTTGCAAAGCTGACTTTTACTGCTCACATGCACACCCCCAGGAGCATGCGCTGCCTCCAAAGATCGGATCGTGCACCTTTGCATGCATCAAACCCTCGCTTGTTACTAACAGCCCCTGGCAGGGGGGGGATCTTGGAGTAAGGTTGTAGAGAAGAACTTGTCACACTCCGTACCGGAAACCCCAATGATAGGGATGGGTGCTGAAATGACTGCGGATGTCGCAGCTATCACATAAGTCTGGTAGAGAAGAATGTCACCAGCACACCGAAAATGCATTCAGGATCATCAATTGTTAATTTTATTGAACAGATTGTCAGTGGAAAAACAAGCGCTTTTGGGACCTCGCAGGGTCCCTTTATCAGGCTCAACATTGACCGTAGATGTTGAGCAAGGGACAGTCAGAGACACTCCGCTATACTGCTGAGCCCATGCACATTGTAGAAAAAACGAAAGCCTTGTGACCTATTTGCACCATGCATGAAATTCCCCCCATGGTCACGAAGGGGTTATGGGTCAACATTCCTTCTGGAGCCCCTCTTGCAGGGGAAGGAGCTTGTTGACTTCGGTCCCTCAGCTCAGCGGCCGTGACAGCGGACTCACTCCTGCTCATTCGCGCTGCCTCCATGGTGTCTCCGCTGTGCACGAGGCCCTCACCAGCTCACAATACATGATGGACTGGCTGCGCGGACCGCTCTCTGCTCACCACCTGCAAACTGCTTGTCTTTCAGGGTTTTCCCGGCGCTGCGTGAGATCACCATGAGCCAGAGGAGAAAGTAGAGCAGTACCGGAGCCCCCCTTCCCCCCCGTTCGCTGCCACACTCACCTCCCAGGAGAAATGGTGCATTATGGGAAATGTAAGTAACTCATCTCCCCTTTCTTATTCCTTCAGAGAAGTTTAAAAAAAAAAAGGCAGCAATGCCAAGTTGACTCAATTCTGTCAAATAAATGTGATGTAAGGGCACAGAGGTGTACCCGGGGGTTGTTAATGTAGAAAAGAATATGGCAGAGTTTAGCAATTGTAAATATTTTTTGCGAAAAGTTGCTTTTTGATTGATTGGTTACTCCTACTTCCTGGACTAGATCATGTTTTTAAGACCTCTAAGGGCAACGTGCACCTAAACTTACCGCACAACATAAGATGAAAAAAAAAAAAAGAAGTCCTTGCCACAAAAAACAATTTCCAGTTTCCGAATCTACTTTACTGCCCATTTGCAGCATGGAATGTCTAGTCTGCTAGCCAAAGCGCCTGATTTGTTAGTCAATCCCTAAAGGGTTCCTTTGGACCCCTTAGCAGCCACTTGGAGGTCCTGGGTATCACTGCTAGATTACAGGCTTCCTGTCACCTCTGGTCAGCAAGTGAGGGAATCCTCTGAGGGTGTCCATGTATTATTGATCGGTAGAGGGTGCAGGGGATCCCCCACCTCCTGTGATGTAAGTGCTCTAATAATGATGGATTATATTTCTTTAATATGATACTGATAGTATGGGAACCCTATAGGACTATTCCTTGTGCCATTTGCCCATCAATGGCTCAGTCTTGCTCTGAGTCTGGTGTGCATATAGGGAACTACTAGGGGGGTCCACTAGATGGCATTGGTGTATTGGTTGAAGGTGCATGGAATTCCCCACCTATTGTGATGTCACTGCTCCTATACTTCCTTAATATGATACTAATAGTATAGGGAACCCTTTAGGATTATCCCTTGTGCCCTTTGCTCATCAATGCCTATCAGTCTTTCTCTGAGTCTGGTGTGGAAATTAGGAACCACTAGGGGGTCCACTAGATGGCATTGGTGGATTGGTAGAGGGTGCAGGGGATTCCCAACCTCCTGTGAAGTCAATGCTCTTATACTATCTTAATATCTTTCTGATAATATGGGGACCCTATGGGATAATCCCTTGTGCCCTTTGCCCATCAATATCTTAGTCTTGCTCTGAGTCTGGTGTGCATATAAGGAACCACTAGGGGGTCCGCATGGGGGTATTGGTAGATGGTGCAGGGGATTCCCCATCTCTTGTAACGTCAGTGCTCTTATACTTCCTTACTATAATTCTGATAGTATGGGGAACACTATAGGTATATTCAAATATACATGTACTATACTTCTGTTCCTACTTCCTGCCTCCATTGCTTTGTAATACACAAGAAAAATCTAGGCAATATTTTAAGTTTTTCAGGTAAGAAATACTGCATAGACATATTTTGTATTTCCATATGCAGTCACTAGGTGGAGCTCTCAACTCCTTTTACATATTTTCCATGTACTCCTTAGTTCCTTTGTTGTATACAAAACTTGCATTTACAGAACTCAATAACTCAAGTTGAAAATAACACACAAGTGTAAATAAGTTAAAGCAAGGTCGCTTCCCTTTTTCTCCCCTTCCCTCTGAATGCCCCCCCCCCCCCAAGGTTTCAATGAGAGCTTTCTGAATGGAAAGCTTCCACATTGCATTGAGCTCATTACTATACTGGCAGCAGATCCAGGATGACCTGGGCTCAGAGGAAGTGGGTTGAATGAAGCAGACTTTCAGGCTGAGGACATCACATGGTAGAAACAATTGTCTGCGGGGGTAAATCTTTGAATAGAAGGTGATTATTGCAACAAAAAATGGTTTTGTTATATCTTTTATTGCGCTATTCATGTTTTATCTGTTTTTTTTTTAGTGCTGCAGTTCTTTTTTAACAATATTTCTATCTCAGAAACAATAGTTACAGGACAAATAGGGAGAACGAACTTCCCAGGGAGAACATACAGAGCAATAAAGGCTTATAAAGGCTTAACAAGGTTTTTAACCCTTTCTCAGCCTATTGAAAACTTAATAAAAAGCTTTGGCTTTAGAAACCCTTTAACTAAACATAGGTTCAGAGCATGCTGGCAAGTCAGTGACATCCATGATGGCACCCTTAGCTATTACACCTGTATCATATTCTACTAGATGATTCCCTTAGAAATAAGCAAAGTAGACGTTTGCCAGCCATACCGGGACGTATAGTTCCTCAATGTCTGGGAGGCTGGCAGCTGATGGAGCCAAAAATTAGACAAAAATGTTGCAGACGTTTCATTCCAGGATAATCTATTTGGCAAATGTCGGTTCTGATTTTGCCACAGAGTCTAGAAGCAATTTTTTACCTAATAAAATGGAAACATTGGAATTGACAAGCGATACAGTCCATTTAGCCTGCCGAGTCTGCCAATTTCACCTAATTACTTTGATCGCATGCCGGCGCTTGTTACACAGGAGTCCTGCGTGCAGCTTAATCTCTGAAAACTCTGAAAATTCGAAATTCTCATTTCCATTCTCTCCGAGTGCGCCGGGGAACCGGGAGGTGGCTGTGCTATTGGCAAGAAGGGCAGCTATTCCTCCTTAGGTCCGATTTGTAAGACGGGGGATTTGGAAGGCAGGATATGGACAGGAAAATCTAGGGGAACGGCTGTATCACTTGGAACTCACAGGCTCTGCAGCAATTCAGGTCATGTGACCTGGAGCCACAGCAAAGGGTGCTTTCATCACATCACAAGGGGCACCAATGTCAGTAGAGATGTCAAGACCGATTCCGGGAGTACCGACTCTGGTCTACATGAAACCAATGTCAGTAGAGATGTCAATATCGATTCTGGTCTACATGAAACAATGGGGGTGCCAATGTCAGTAGAAATGTCAAGACCAATTCTGGGAGTACCGACTCTGTCCTACTTGAAACAATGGGGGTGCCAATGTCATTAGGGATATCAATACCAATTCTGGGAGTACCAATTCTGGTCTACATAAAACAATGGGGGTGGCAATGTCAATAGAAATGTCGAGACCGATTCTGAGAGAACCGATTCTGGTCTACATGAAACAATGGGGGTTCCAATGTCAGTAGAAATGTCACTATCGATTCTGGGAGTGCCAACTCTGGCCTACATGAAACAATGGGGGGACTAATGTCAGTAGAAATGTCAAGACCAATTCTGAGAGAACTGATTCTGGTCTGCATGAAACAATGGGGGGCACCAATATCAGTAGAGATGTCGAGACCGATTCTGGGAGTATCCACTCTGGTCTACATGAAACAGTGGGGGCACCAATGTCAGTTGAGATGTCAAAACCGATTCTAGGAGTATCCTCTCTGGTCTACATGAAACAGTGGGGGCACCAATGTCAATAGAGATGTCATTATCGATTCTGGGAGAACCGACTCTGATCTACATTAAACAATGGGGGTGCCAATGTCAGTAGAGATGTCAAGACCAATTCTGGGAGTACCGACTCTGGCCTACTTGAAACAATGGGGGTGCCACTGCCAATGTCATTAGGGATATCAATACCAATTCTGGGAATACCAATTCTGGTCTACATGAAACGATGGGAGCACCAATGCCAGTAGAAATGTCAAGATCGATTCCGGGGGAACCGACTCTGGTCTACATGAAACAATGGGGACACCAATGTCAGTAGAGATGTCACTATTGCTTCTGGGAGTACCGATCCTGGTGTACATGAAACAATGGGGGCACCAATGTCAGTAGAAATGTCAGTATTGATTCTGGGAGTACTGACTCTGGTCTACATGAGTAGAGATATTAGTAGAGATGTCAAAACCAATTCTGGGAGTAAACAATTTCTTTAAAGTCTGTTGACCCTTCATTGTGATGGGCATCCTAGTTAACCAATAAGTGCACTGGGGAGGCAAGAGGCAAGAGCGCTACTTTAACAGGTCAAGATTTGCATGCAACTTCAGCTGTGTGCATCTTATGAGGGTTTCCCTAAAGCCATACTTTGCTTATGTCATTTTTATATCTTACACCCAGGCTGAATTGCGAAGGTTTGTGATTGGTTAAAATGTGTTTGCACGGAATATATGGGGAAGGATGAAGTAACCCCCCCTTTTCCTGCTGTTCTCAGGAAAATCATATTATTCACAGTTATGATAACAACACAACAACTCGGATTGTGATCCATTTTCTATGCATGAGTTAATACAGCGGGGACATCGCGGCTATCCTCCAACCTCAATAGCAGCACAGTGAATGATTAATGTCATAATCAAGCCGCGGCTAATTAAAATTTAAAGAACTTTCTGTATACAAGTAACTCAGAGGGAGCGAGTGAAAGAAATTTAAAGAGGAGGATTCTGGGGGCTGTACAGGATGTTCTACGAAATAGGGGGTTTAATGGACTGTAAAAGAGATTCAAGTGTGAAAAAAAATATTTTTAGCTTTGGAATGCGGAAGGATTAGTCTGTGTCCCCAATGGGAAGATTCACCCTCTCTATTAGTCACCGTTATCACTGGGACAGAAAGTGATGGGGGATCCACCATTTTACAGAAACAGATGGGACACTTCCCATGGGGATACTTGTTTTGGGAGGGATTTCCTCTCACTTCCTGTTGCATCTCTAGGACAGGAGGTGAAGGAAAATCAATCAATCTATCTATCTCAGGGGCTTAACTAGAAATCACAGGGCCACATAGCAAAACTTTGTAAGGGGCCCTGTGGTTTCTAGTTACACCCACCTGATATCCCAAACAGCCCACCTCAGAGGGACTCTGCATGGCCCAGCATAGACTCTCCATGGTGGGCTCTGCAGGGTCTCAGGTGGGCTGGTCAAACCCTCTTACCTGTCAGCCCCGATCCGCTGTCCGCCTCTTAGTCGTCCACAATCGGTTGGCGGGCCACGCCTCCTTGGTCGCCAGGCTCCATCTCCTAAATCGCCGGGCCCCGCCTCCTCCTTTGCTGCCGAGCCGGGCCAAGCCTCCTTCTCCTCCTTTGTTGCCGACGCCGGGCCAAGCCTCCTTCTCCTCCGCAGCTGCTGGCTGTCACTGATTCAGCAGCGGCTTTGAGGAGGAATGCGCCGCTGCAAAGATCA